GACAGAGGGGCGGGCAAAGGTCTTGCTGGGTTTTATGGTGAGGATGTAGGAGGATTGAGGGACCCTGGACCCCAGCCTAGAGTTAGTCACAAAAGGTCCTTGGAGGGGGATGGGAGCACATGGCAAGTCCGGACTTCCGCATCCGGGGTCTGAGTGATGAAGGACCTGGTATAAGGTGCTGATCTCGGGTCCTCAGAGGGGAGGGCTCAGCCGCGAATGGGATTCAAGGTATGAACCTTGAGGCAGGACAGAGGGGACCTCACAGAATTGGGTCTCCAGGTCCAGTCTAGAAACCCACCTGCGTGGAATGGACTCATAGCCCCTGGGGTGGGACTGGCGCATTGCGGTTTCTCTAGTGATTGGGGGTTTGGCAGAAGGAGCAGGGGCAGGGCCTCCCTCAGGGGGGCAGAGGGGCAGGCGAAGGTCTTGCTTGGTTTTATGCTGAGGATGTAGGAGGATTGAGGGACCCTGGACTCCAGCCCAGAGTCAGTCAGGGAAGATCCGCGGTGGGGGATGGGAGCACATGGCAAGTCCGGACTTCCGCATCCGGGTCTCTGAGTGATGAAGGGCCTGGTGTAAGGAGCCGATCTGAGGTCGTCAGCGGCAGGGCTCAGGCGTGAATGGGATTCAAGGTATGAACCCTGAGGGAGGCCAGAGAGGACCTCACCGACATCGGCTCCCAAGGCCATTCCGGGAAGTCCCCTGGGCGGGATGGGGACAAGTGGTCCGGTGGCCTGACTGGGGCATCTGGGCCTCCGGAGAGACTGGGAGCCTTGGTGGAGGGAGCAGGGCCTCCCTCAGGCGGGCAGTGGGGTGGGCGCAGGTCGTGCTGGGCTTCACGGTGAGGATGCAGGAGGAGGACTGAGGGATCCAGGACCCCAGCCCAGAGTCAGTCAGGGAAGGTCCGTGGTGGGGGGATGGGAGCCTGTGGCGAGTCCGGACTTCCGCATCCGGGTCTCTGAGTGAGGAAGGGCCTGGTGTAAGGAACCCATCTCAGGTCGTCAGAGGGGAGGGCTCAGGTCCGAATGGGATTCAAGGTATGAACTCTGAGGCAGGACAGAGGGGACCTCAAAGAATAGGGTCTGCAGGGTCAGTTTAGAAAGACATCTGGCGGGATGAGGTCTCCTATCCCCTAGGGTGGGACTGGCGCATCCGGGTTTCTCTAGTGACTGGGGACCTTGGCAGAAGGAACAGGGCCCCCCTCCGGGGGGGGGGGCGAGGGGAGGGGATGGCACAGGTCCTGCTGGGCTTCACGGTGAGCATGCAGAGGGAGGAATGAGGAACCCTGGACCCCACCCCAGAGTCAGTCGTGGAAGGTCCATGGGGGGATGGGAGCACGTGGCGAATCCGGACTTCCGCATCCGGGTCTCTGAGTAACGAAGGGCCTGGTGTAAGGAGCAGATCTCAGGTCGTCAGAAGGGAGGGCTCAGAAGGGACTGTGATTCAAGGTATGAACCCTGAGGCAGGACAGAGGGGACCTCACAGAATTGGGTCTCCAGGGCCAGTCCAGAAATGCACCTGCCTGGGATGGGGACTCGTAACCCCTGGGGTGGCTCAGCGCATCGCGGTTTCTCTAGTGATTGTGGGCTTTGGCAGAAGGAGCGGGGCCTCCCTCAAGCGGGCAGAGGGGCGGGCGAAGGTCTTCCTGGTTTTTATGGTGAGGATGTAGGAGGATTGAGGGACCCTGGACCCCAGCCTAGAGTCAGTCAGCAAAGGTCCTTGGTGGGGAATGTGAGTGGGGGATGTGGCGAGTCCGTACTTCCGCATCCTCGTCTCTGAGTAAGGAACGGCCTGGTGTAAGGAGCAGATCTCTGGTCCTCAGAGGGGAGGGCTCAGTCGCGAATGGGATTCAATGTATGAACCCTGAGGGAGGACAGAGGGGACCTCACCGAGGTCGGACCCCGTGGTCATTCCAGAAAGGCCACCGGGCGGGATGGCGACACGTGGACAGTGTGGCGGGACTGGCATATCCAGGTCTCCGGAGGGACTGGGAGCCTTGGTGCAAGGAGCAGGGTCTCCTTCAGGTGGGCAGAGGGGCAGGTGCAGGCCCTGCTGGGCTTCACAGTGATCATGCAGATGGAGGACTGAGGGACCCTGGACCCCAACCCATAGTCAGTCAGGGAATGTCTTCGGAAGGCGGGGGGGGGGGGGGGGGGGGGGGGGGGGGGGGGGGCGGGGGTTGGGCTCCCGGCCCCCGAGAGGCGGGGGGACGGGGGGGGGGGGGGGGGGGGATGGGAGCAGGTGGTGAGTCCAGACTTTGCATCCTGGACTCAGAGACACTGGGGACCTTGGCAGTAGGCACTGGTGCTCAGTGGGGCAGAGGGGACGGCCCAGGTCCTGCTGGGCTTCACAGTGAGGATACAGAGGGAGGACTGAGGACCCCTTCATCCCAAACCAGAGTCAGTCCCTAGAAATGTGAGTGTAGGACACACACACCCCCCCATTTGTGTTCGTGTGTGTGTGTGTGTCCCCCACTTGTCCACCTGGGTCTCCCAGAGGCTGGATGCGCTGGTGTCCAGGAGTCGATCCACAGGCAGTACAGTAGACAAAGGCATAGGCACCAGGGAGCCCCGTTGGAAAGGGGAAGAAGGCCCGAGAGACCTGGACGCCCCATCTCCGCCCCCGCGGTCCGTCCTGGGAAATCTTGGGCTTCGCCGCTGCACATCGTGGTCACAGACTTGAGCCAGTGGGCTCAGGGGAGCGATAGCCTTGGTGTGGGAGCACCGGCCCCGGGACAGCAGACAGGAGAGGCCCGGGACCCGCTAGGGCTCGAGGCGAGAGGACCTGAGGGAGTCCCCAGGGAGCCCGCCGGACCGCGCCTTGGTTCAGCCCCGGGAGGCTCCTGGGGTGGGCGATCCCACGCCGTGCATGGCCACTTCAGCCTCGGGGCCTCTGAGGACCGGTGGTCACAAGGATGGAGAATGCGTAAGGGGGAAGATGGGCCGTGTGTCGCTGGGGGGAAAGGCGAGGACTGCAAGGAGGACTGCAGGATTGGGGACAGAGACCAGATTTGGTCCCAGGAGGCCCCAGGGACAGATGACCGCATGGGGCGAGCCCTGCATTCCCACCAAGTCTCCCAGAGACGGGGGTCTGGGTGGAAGCATCAGGCTTCAAGATCTCCCGGGCGGACCGCGGGCCTGCTGTGTTGGAAGGTGAGGACCAGAGGGAGGACTGAGGCATCCTGGTCCCCAGCACGTTCAATTCGGGGAGGAGGCCCCAGTGTAGGAGGAGCACATGCCTGTCCTGATGTCCACATCTGGGTGTGAGAGACTGCGGGCTGTGGTGAGAAGGAACAGGGCCTGGGGTGTGGTGGGCTTGTGTGTGTGAGGGTGTGAGTGTGGAGCACGGGGTGGGGAGGAGGGTCACAGGTCCTTCTGGGAGTGAGGATGAGGACCCTGGGGGAGGACTGGCCGGACCCGGTCCTCCCTTCTCAGCAAAGAAGCCAGTGCCCCGGAGTCCGGCCTTGCCCTGTTGGCAGCCCAGGGAGGATCGGTCAGCGGTGGCCCAAAGTGGCAGGCATGCTCACTTGTCTCATGGGCTGGAAGGTGGGGAGACCTCGGGGAGTGAGGTCTCGGGCTGAGGGGCACCTGGCCTCTGTCTCAGGTTGGGGGCTGGGTGGAAGGGCAGGCCCTGGCAGGAAGGAGGATTAGCCTCCCGGGAGCCTGAGGGCATCCCCATCCCAGGTCAGAGGGGTCGGTCCCCACCGCCAGCCCTTTGGGATCTTGCTGGAAGCTGGCCATGGGGGATGGACCCTCGGACATGGGCGTGGTGGCTCCTCACCCTCCTCTGGGAGCTCTCAGGGAGGCGAGGGCCATGCTGGGAGAGGTCGGAGTCGGGTCACCCGAGGAAGCCCACCTGGGAGACACACAGGAGGCTCTTGTCCTGCCAAGAGTCAAAGTGGGGACCCCCGAGGCAGGAGCGAGGGCTCCCAACCCACCCCTTGGGACAAGGAGGGGATGCCCCAGAAATCTGGCCATTTCTACTTGACCGCCCTGAGAACCCTGGCCGGGTCTGTCAGGCGGAGCCCCTCTTCGTCCCCAGATACCTGGGCTCTGGGAGGGGAGGGCCTGTGTCTGAGGGTCTGGACTGTGGTCAGTGGAAGAGGCAGGGGCCCTGGTACTGGCCCTAGCAGGAGGTGGAGGTGAGAAATGAGGAGATGACTCCCACAGCAGGATCCCTAGGGCCCAAGCCTACCCTCCCACTTCTGTCAGCCATGGGGAGATGGGGGATTGGTGGGCCTAGTGATGTCTCCTGAATTTTCCTTCTGGTTTCTCCCAGAGATGAGGCCTCGGCACCAGAACGGTGTCCTCAGGTCAACAGAGTAATTTTCCCAGGTCGCCTGTGGGGTCAGGGTATGGACGGAGAGGTATACCTATCCCAGCACAGATGGAACCACAAGCTTGGCCATCCTTGGAGATCCATGATGAGCCCTGTAGACCTTGGCAGGCATGGCTAGATGTGGGCCCCCTCGCTTACCTTCGGTGGAGTCTCAGGGCTGCGTGGTCTTGCTGGGTCCCTTTGGGTTCAGGCCTGCAGGGTGTGGGGGCGGAGGCAGGCCCCACCAAGGGAAAGAGCAGTCCCCTGAGAGGCCAAGGAGGGGACCACCCAGCCTGCCTGGCAACAACCTCACAGAGTCCGACCCAGCCCTCCTGTGTGCACTGGGGGCCCAGGGCCATGCTCACAGTCTGCACTCTGAGGTTCCTCCTCCTTTTCTCCTCCAGGGGCTTCAAGAACTAGGAGTTGACTCTTGCTTCGGTGTGAGGCAAGAGTCCCTGAGGTCACAGAGCAGAAGAGGAGAAGGTGAGTGCCAGCTGTTGAGGTAAGGTACATGCTACGAGCATGGAGCCAGGGGCTCTCCCATCCCAACACAGAAGGAACCCCTTGGCACCCAAGCCGACGCAGCCCACTGTCAGCTCTGCGACGTCAGGCCTCTGTTGGCTGGGCTGTACCCTGAGAGGCCATCCCACATCTCTTTTCAGGTTCAGCCCAACACGAACGCCATGCCCCTGGGTCAGAGGAGTGAGCTCTGGAAGCTGGAGGAAGACCCAGGAGAGGCCCAGGGCCTGGTGAATGCACAGCTGTCTGGGGCTGAAGAGGAGGAGATCCAGTCTCCTTCCTCCTCTTCCTCCTCCTCTTCCTCCTATCCCTCTTCTTCCTCCAATACTAGTACTTCCTTCTCCTCTTCCCCTTCCTCCTCCTGCTCTGCCCTGTTCCTGATTCCGGTGGACGACAGGTCTGAGGCTGGGTCCCTGAGCCCTCCTCAGAGCCTTCAGCATGCCTGCCCCTCCCCCACTGCCATGGCAACCACTGCTGGGAACCAGCCCGACCAGGGCTCCAGCAGCTCAGATGAGGGCGGGTTGAGCACCTGGGAGGAGCTGGAAGTCACTCAGCTCTTTCTCCAGGAGAAACTCCACATGAAAGTGGCTGACCTGGTGGAGTTCCTGCTCCTTAAGTTTCGCACCAAGCAGCCAACCAGCCAGGCGGAGATGCTGGAGATAGTCAGCAAGGATTACCAGGATTACTTCCCAGTGATCCTGGGCCAGGCGTCCGAGTGCATGCAGCTGGTGTTTGGCGTGGATGTGAAGGAAGTGGACCCCAGCGAGCACTTCTACGTCCTGGTCACCATCTTGGGCCTCACCTGCGATGCGATGCTGAGCGGTGAGCAGGGCCCGCCCAAGACCGGCCTCCTGGTGGTGCTCCTGGGGGTGATCCTCCTGGAGGGCGACCGTGCCCGCGAGGAGGTGGTGTGGGAAGCGCTGGGGGTCATGGGGGTGTATGCCGGCGAGGAGCACATCATCTTTGGGGAGCCCCGGGAGCTCCTGACCAATGTCTGGGTGCAGGAAGGGTACCTGGAGTACCGGCAGGTGCCCGGCAGTGACCCTGCCCGCTACGAGTTCCTGTGGGGTCCCAGGGCCCACGCGGAAACCTGCAGGTTGCAAGTGCTGGAGTATTTGCTGCGGGTCAATCGCGGGCTGCCGGTTTCCTCGTGGCCCCGTATGAAGAGGCTGTGAGCCATGAGGAAGAGGGGGCCTGAGCCCCAGGGGCGGCTGTGGTGCGGTCCCGGCTCCGGCGGGGTCGGCAGCTTGTCCTGTGGGGTGCTGGGCACGAAGTGAGATTGTTTCATGGTTCTTCCCTGTGTGTGTGTGTGTGTGTGTGTGTGTGTGTGTGTGTAGAGAGAGAGCACCCTGTGAGTTCAAAGCAGGGCAGGGCCAGGGAGGGTTGGGAGAAGAAAGGAGGGGGAGGAACCTCTCTGGAGGCTGTCCTCTACAGTGACTTCACATCCAGAGCTTGGTTTTCTTGAGGAAGTTCTGAAATGTTATTCCTTAGAATGGAAGGTTCAACCAGCTTCAGCGGCTAAATGTGTGAGTGACATCCACCCCACAACATTTGTAATTACCCAGTTCAAGATTTAAGAGTTCTGTCATGTCCTGGAAATAAGCTGGGAGACCTTCTCTTCTTGTTTGGGTTCTAGAATGGAAATTACAGGGCACTGGCATAAGAATTCGTTGGAAAGGCAAAAGAACAGAGTAGTCTATTGACGGGGTCAGGAAATAGGGAAATAAAAGATTGTTCGTTTTTGTTTCTTGTTCCTTCTTGTCTGTCATTTTGCAAAAAGATCTTCCCTCCTTGTTTGGGTTCTGGAATGAAATTACAAGGCATTGGCCTAGGAATTTTTTGGAAAGGCAAAAGAATGGAGGAATCAAGTGATGGGGCCAGGAAATACAGAAATAAAAGATTGTTCATTTTTGCTTCTTATTCCTTCTCAACTGTCATTTTGCAAAAGTAACATAGAGGTCTGCTCCTGTATTCACTTGGTTCTTCAAGAAAGGAGGAGAAACGTCCTCTCAGCACAGAGGGAGCCCTGCTCTCTGGCTCACTGATTCCCAGACACGGGCTGAGCTCTGCTCTCTGAAAGGCCCTGTGCATGAGCAGTGAGGACACTAGGAGAAGCAGGACACATCCCACACTTAGGTGACTGTCTAGCAGCTGTCCTCATGGCAGGAAAGTAGGGAGGGGTGCCCTGAGACCTATAGAACCAGGGGTGGTGTGTATAGAAGGGTGTGGGGGTGCTGCTCCCAGGAAGAGCACTGCAGTGGAAATGCCCCTGGCCTGGTGGCTCAAGATGTCTGCTCATTATGATTCCTTCTGTGCAGCTGATCACTGTAAACCGGGGGAAGGGGGATGACAGTGGCCCTACTTGGAGACAGGGTGCCTTAGGGGTGGGAGCAAAGTCTGAAATGGATAATTGCTCTGAGAAGTTCCTTTGGGATCATGGACAAACCAGAGAGAAATTTCCTCCTGGGGCAGGAAAGGAAGGTGTCCTGCACTCTCGTCCTAGTGCAGTTCAACACAGTGCACAGAGTAGGTATTTTATATCCATCATTTGAATACAGTGATATTCCTTTGAAGTGGAGTCCAGAAGACTCTAGACTGACACTCTTGTTCCTGACCATGGAAAGCCAGGACCCACTGCATTAAAAAGACATTTTAGTTTGGTTATCTTGGGTGTAATTTGGACAGCTGTAAGTAAGCAAGGTCTAGGTTTTGGTGGGGGAGAAATGAGTTAAAGGAATGGTTTGGGTGGAAGAGCAGCTGGGAGGGAGGGAAGGAGCTGGTTTTTTACTCAAATTATAGGAGCTTTGTATTGTAGCCAGCTGGGACAACTCCCTTACAGCTGAATTCCACACATATTCTCATATATCCCACACATATCCTCTGATTTAGAAAATGGATTGAGTTTTATTTATGTAGCGCCCTCTTTGGCTAATTAGCTATCCCATGTCCTATTGAACTGCACATTCTCTTAACATGACCGGATAACAAATATCCCAGAGAAAAGAGAGTAAGGTTCTGGGATCAAAACAACATTCAAAATCACTTCCATTCATCAAAGTTCCAATATGTGCCAGGCACTGTGCAAGGTGCTTTCCATATATTACATCCATTCCTGCAGTCCTACAAGATGGCGCTTATCAAACCCACTCACTTCACAAACAAAGAACTTGAGGCTAGCGGGACTTGGTCATTTTCCCAGGATCCCGTGGCTAGTGAGTGACAGGGCAGAGACTAGAACCCTCGCCTGAATTCATGTAGAGTCTATGCTGTTCCCACCCACCGCAGCCCACGGAAAACATTGAGTCCTACATCATTCCTGAGTACAGCATGGTATCTCCCAAGTGACAAAAAGAAGGATGCTGTGTGAAGGTACTAAAACCTGGGCTAAGGAAGGAAGGTGACAATGAGAATCAAACAGGATTTGGGTACTGTCTGTGGGCTTTAATAACCTAGAGTTCTTCTGCCTGAGCCCCAGAGTTCTTTGAGAACTGACTGCCCAGGCGCTGGCATTTTTTTCCAGACTTAGCACTTCCCCAAATTACAGCAGCCTTTCCCTGGTATTCCCCTATGTGCTCTTTTGCCTAACTCTTGAACCTGGCCTGCTAGTGTGCTCATCACCGGTCCCCATGGAACAGCTAGGGAGCACCTTCTCTCCCCCAACATAGAACCTTACTCTCTGTTGTAGTCTCCTGGCCACTAAATGCAGTCCCTGCTGGGATTACAGAATCATTTGAAAATTAGATGGCATCCTGTATTTGAAAGTATTGGTCACACAGGAGGTGCTTGAAAAGCCCAAAGAATTCCAAGGCAAATCCGACCTCAGAAACTCCTTCCAGCAATGAAGTCAGTCGTCATAACAAATTATAATAGTTGCATTTGGTTAAGCACCTACTGTGTGACAATACATGGGAGAAACTTAAATATTCATCCATAGTGTGTCTTGCTTTTCCTCCAGAACACAGGGGACACTACCTTGCCAGTCTGCTTGTAGTTAGGGAGGGTTGCGTGATGACCCTTTGCCATGGAGATGTGAGCAGAAGCACTGTTTCTCACATCCAGGCATTTGAGAGACAGTCTTGTCAGTTCCATGCTGTCTCCCTTGATTCACCAGCAAATTGGTGACCCCACGTTGAGATGGGGAGCCACAAGATGAAAACAACCTGGACCCAGGGTCTAGGAAAAGAAGAGGACCCCTACCAAACTGTATCAGAATTTATGTGCACAAAAATTCACTTCTGGGGGCGGCTGGGTGGCTCAGTGGGTTAAGTCTCTGCCTTCGGCTCAGGTCACAATCCCAGGGTCCTGGGATGGAGCCCTGCATCGGGCTCTCAGTTCAGCAGGGAGCCTGCTTCCCCCTCTCTCTCTGCCTGACTCTATGCCTACTTGTGATCTCTCTCTCTGTCAAATAAATAAATTTAAAAAAGCTTTAAAAAATATTCACTTCTGTTGTGTTAGCCCTTCAAACGTCAGGATTTGTTGCATCAGTTAGCAGTCACTTTCACATGGCTGCTTTTTTGTTGTTAGGCTTATCTAGAAATCTTACTTACGAAGGTAGTAGTACATATCTTCCTATTGCAAAAAACTTCCAAAAATACAGATAAATCACCATATCCCCTTTTCAAAGTTCCTCCACGATTCAGCTTCCTCCTCAGAAGTCACCGTAATGAACAATCTAGTGTGTTATTTTAATTTTTTAAAAAATTTTTGAGATAGAGTGTGTGTATGAGTGGAGGGAGGGGCAAAGGAAGAGAGAGAGACACTCTCAAGAGACACTCTCAAGGCTCCATGTTCATCACAGAGCCCAACTTGGCACTGTCTCAGGACCCTAAGATCATGACCTGAACAGAAATCAAGAGTTGGACGCTTAACCGGCTGAGCCACTCATGCACCCCTAGTATGTGTTATTTTAAAGATGACTATGGTTTTTTCTTAGATATGCTCTAAAAATGTATTGTTTTTATTCAACCAAGGCCACTAGCTTTTGTCTCTTAATAAAATGGATGCAGGATCTTCCCGTGAGAGCGCATATAGATCTACCTCACTTTTGAAACTACTCCCTGGAATGTTAAAGTCAGTATATACCATAATTAATCACATAAACAATTTTTTTCCTGGCGGAAACATAAGTTGTTTTACCTTGCTGTATGATTAATAAAATGAAATATCATCTTTGAATATGAATCCTTGGGTAGACATGAATGTTTTCTTTTTTTAAGATTTTATATATTTGACAGAGAGAGTGTGAGAGAGCACAAGCAAAGGGAATGGCAGGCAGAGAGAGAAGCAGGCTCCCCACTGAGCAGGGAACCCGACGTGGGACTCGATCCCAAGGCCTTGGGATCATGACCTGAGCGAAAGGCAGACACTTAACTGACTGAGCCAACCACACACGCCTATATTTTCTAATAATATATACATACAAACATAGACATTGAGTTAGAGTGGAGAGGGTGTGAATAGTTTAACATTTCATAAATACATCTGAAATTTTATTCCAAAATTGTTATACCAGTTTGCATTCTCATAAAACTTGGAAATGATTTAAGATTCTCCAATATCAATAAGACATTTCCCCCTTTACTTTGAGAAGGAAGGATTTGGCCAGAATGACCAGCAGCCAGGGGAGGAGACCAGCCAGGACTCCCTCAGCTAGTGAGGGCATTGAGAGCATCCTGGGAAAGTGATGGCCAGAGTCCGTGACAAAAAACAAGTACAAAACCAAGTGCAGAGAGCCCCAGGCAGGCTGGCAGTCAGGGCTCCGAATCTAGAGTTCAGCTTAGGGGGGAAAGGGCCAGAAGGAGAGAAGGTGGGGAGGTGGAGGGATTCAGAAGAAAGAACATGGATGGGCTGGGGAAGTCTCTGAATCATTATCACCAGCTGGAAGTTGCGGGATGGTCTGACAGGGGAGGTCTGTTGGATGAATGGATCAGCAGCAGGCCAGACACCCCACTACCGTAGGGTTCCCCTACCTCTGTCAGGAGGAGTACGCCTGGCTCCCTGCCCCTGAATTCAAGCAAACGACATCTCTTGACTACTCTAGTGGTCCAGGGCATCCTTGCCAATGTTCCAGGCCTGGGAGCTGTCATGATGCCGGCTGGAGGTGGGGTCTTTCCCCCTGGGTGCAGTGAAACCCCACATAGAGGGTAGGGCTATGTGAGGGAGGGGTTAGTGACCGAGAAAAGACAGCTGAGATAGGCC